GAATAACTTGTTTGACTAGTGAATAAAATTACAACTATCCATAATATTTAAGTAATAAAAAAGCATTTGTATGAAACTCCCCAGTATTTTTTTATCTGCTCACACTTATGATGTCTAAGCGAGACGAGTATAAACGATGGAGCTCCAACCGTTCGGTTGCATATTGTTGCTTTTATACTTGTAATTTTGTTCGTACATAGAGTACGTTCCTTAGTGCGGGAGACAGATGATAGTTTTTAGGGTAAAACAATTTAATGACATTTACGGAGATAAAAAAAGAATCATTATAAATATTTTTCCATAATCAATTATTTTCAACACACTATTCACCACCCCCGCACTATGTTAAAAAACAAAGATATAGTGAATTTTCAATATGAATTTTACACAATAAGAATTAAAATTCTTAAAAATCATAACCACATTCTGAGTATCCCGTCCTTATATATAAATCTATAACTCATACGAGATTACCTTTAATACTAAGCCAACGGGCAAAATAACATATTAAATATATAATAATCCCAGTAAAAGAAATATTAACTACTCTAAATAAAAATAATACAAAATCATGAAGGGTACTGAAATGTAATTTTGAAATATGTGACCATATAGCTTTAAGACGCCAGACAGAGAAAAAAATAAATATATAGTATAGTAGTTTATTAGAAGAAAGACAATGTTAGAAAATATATAAGTAACTTCTACTATACAAATATCTTAATTTATTTACACAAGGTAAATCGCAAATTATACATAACCGAAAGTCAGTAACAGTGTTCACGACACAAACAACTTTTACAAAGAAACAAAGTGTACAGTACACAAAGCGTGCTCGCATTATCAATTTAATATAATAATAGTGAAAACCCTGGTCAATTCACACAGCGCCATTTAGTACCAAACTAAACAGAACTTGTGTTATGGGTACTAGACAACTGATATAAATACTGGATACATTTTTATAAATACATACATAATATATGCAGTAAACACTCAGACCTATACAAACAATCATACTCGTGAATACAAAAGTTTGTATTGAGCGAGGAATCGAACCTGCGACTCGAAAAGTAAGGCGATGTGCTAAACCGTTGCACCACCGAGGCCTTCCGTAATATGTAACCTAGAAAATTTCTATATGGTTCCCACTTTGTTTCTTGGTATAATTATTTCTGTTACATGAATATTCTACCTGACTTTTGACATCGTACACTTTACTACTAACCGTGTAAATAACCGCATCTTAAAGCGTAAACGATCACAAATAATACAAATACGTTCCCACAATATAAAATTTAATTCGTGTATTCTGTACATAATATAATATTAATGATACCTGAGCATTCCATGCAATTCCGAGTTTGTAGATTGGAGTAGACAAAAATATTCAACTCATCTAAAAACAAGACAGACAGAAAGTTTAATAATTTATTAATAATAATCTAGATAGGTGTCGCCCATACGAGCAAAAAGACAACTCCCTTAAATCTCATTCGTTAGTCAAACGTCTATCAACTACAAATTCCTCTGATAAATGCTAACTTTGATCTGTCAGACGGGAGTTAGCCTTTAGCCTCTCTATAAGTCCTTCGTTTGGTTTGAAGTGCCCTATGATCTGGTGAAGCTATAAAAGCCAACTGCGGCCAACATTACAAGACAAAAAATTACATATTATTTTTGCTTTGCAGGATATAAAATTACTGCTCATCTTGATCATATTATAGTATGTACATGTTAACATCTTGAGCGCGGACAGTGTCGAGGAATGTGTGTATATAAATATAAATTTGTATATAAATAAAGAATTTCAATGACCACATGAAAAAACTTAGTCTTTGGCGCTTTGAGCAAAACGTGATGTGTTATGGCATCAACTAGCGATACTAAACTCGCGCTTTATTATAATTTATTTCCTTTATTCATAAAAACTTTTATTCAATAAATGTATAATAGCCAACTGTTTTATCCCACTCTTTTCAGCTAGTTGCTTCATTTGATAGAAAGGGACGCAATTCATAGTTCTGTATGTATAACATCTCTTTATGTAACCACGCAAGTTTTACAAATACAGAATCTTGACTTTTGAATCAACATTTATAACTGGTTTGTTGAATACTTTAGTTTTTATGAATAAGGGCATATGTCTATAAGGATTATTGGAATCGTTGCGAAATTATTTGAATTACTACAATATATTAATTATAATAATTTGCATATTACGAAATAGACACTTAAAAGAAACATATTCCATTAAAAAAACCGAAAATATTACAATAAAAAATAGTCTTTCCGACAACTCTATCTGTATCTAACAAAAATAGAATATGTATATATCTATGTTAGGCATAATGTGCGGAAGAGGTTAAGTATAACGGATACACCAGTTTGAATCCTGGTAATTTAGCGTTTTCTAGAGTAAAATTAAAAGATCATTAATATTTACTAAACTAAATATTACTGAGTGTATCAAAAAATATAAACAAATAGGACAGCCATTCTTTTGAAAATGTGTAAACAAACAAAGTAAAAATATCAACAACGATTCCAAAACCCCTGTACATTATTACTAATGAAATAATATAGATTATATAGCGTCAATTCCCTAATAAGTAAGTTAACCTATATTTACTTATATTACAAGAATCCATAAATCATACGAGTATATTTAGTACGTTACCATAATAAGTATAATATAATATAAATAAATGCATTTATATGGCGAATGTGCGAATAATCTGCGTGTTTATTGGACACTAACTTGTGCTGTGTATGAAATAATTACAATTAACACTGCCGAAATATCGGGAACTCGATAAATATAAAACGTGGTATTATCCCGTGATTTACTATTATAATTATAAATGTATAATTACAATTAAGTTGTTAAAAATGCAAAAAATTAAGTTGTGGATAATCCCATTCTACGCAGTAAGTCAATGCTTCGGGGAGCCGGTCCAATTCTCAGACTCCTCGTATTTCTCCAAACACTCACGTAACTTAATATTATGGTACTGTTTGTAATGATATCCAATCGCATAACAATTTTTACATTAATAAATGTAAAAAAATACAGAATAAACGTTACAAAAATTACACTAATACTATAGAGGTAATTTACGAGGTAATGTTCAAAATTACTAATTCGATTTTAACGTGATAAGATCACAAACAGACAGATACGCTTTCAAATTTATAATATTAATACGGAAGAATGGATTCACTATCAAATACATTTTTACAAATATAAATGTATATGTAAAATAATAGTACAAACACTAATATGTTATAAACTATATAACACAAATCACGTCACAATAAAAACGCATTTTTTACAAAAATAATAATGTGTGCATTGGAGCAATATAATGAGCATAGTTAAATGTCACAGATAAAGTTTGGTCGTATCCTGAGATCGAAATAACTCTTCTGGTTCTGATGTCGGAACAAACGGAATCCAGAGCCGTTACAAAAAAAACACACCACCATACTGATATGGCATATGATTATGACTATCAGCTAATATTAGAAAAATGTGTAAAAATATGTTAGGTGCATTTAAGGACCTTTTACAGTATCATATATACATAGATATGATCGTATATAGATGCGATTATATTCTAAATTTAATAGAATACATCACACAAGGTTTCAGAGAACAAATCGCATTTTTCCGCTCAAAAATTTCCAGACTGTTCTACCATGCCACGTGCTCTGACGTCATTACTTGCTAACAAAACACAAGTGACTCAAAAATACGTGACGCCACTTTATTAACCAATTTGAAATATTACACTCCCCGTGATCATAATATTGGAAATATTACAGATAATGAACTAATACTAATTAGTACCACAATTCTGATATATTTTAATATTATATACTGACTCATTGTACATCGTTATGTTCATATATATGTGATAGTGTAATAGGCCCACATTTACGATACTTTGTATCCGTGTTGCAATAGGGACTAATCTTATACAGGTCGTATAAATTTAAAAAACCTTATACATTTATGTGTGAGTAAAGATGTATTCTCCTACACTAAAATTACTACTATTTTAGTAGAATATTTAAAGTAGTAGTGAACTATTTAAGTGAACTATTATATAGCGTAGGTTACTCGGGAAAAAGTTCTATAAAATATTGATGTTCCATTTTGTATCTGTATCTTTGTATCTCTCATTGCATCTCTATTTTCCATACAGCAATAAAAATTCCATTTATTTCCAAAAAAAATGGAAAGTGGAATTCTGTGAGAGAAATATTTAGCTTACACCAAACTATATAAAGGCGAATATCGAATACATATCTTATTCAATAGTATTTCGATTTTAGTCCGATACGATCGCGTCAAAAGTCAACCTGCTCTTGTTTTTAAAATGTTTATAAAGTTCAGAGCCCTATCACTACATATATACAGGTACAGTATACACCAAAAATAGCATATTTTTTAATGAATAAATAAAAATACATTGAAATGAGTATAAAACAAAGAAAGGCTATATCTAAATACGTTACGGTTAATTATTGTTTTGCAATCGTGAGTACCACAGACAAAAATCACACGTATAAATGTCATATCCTTTTAGGACTTTAAATTTTTGTTACATGAAAGAAGTTACTTGGACATACAAAATCGTTTTTTTTTAAATAATTTAGATATAACACAATACATATAAGCTAACTTGTGATATTAATAATAATAAAGAATCCAATCTGTATTATATGCTTGCTATTAGGACTTGTTAATAAGAGCAATTGACAGTGTGCTTTAGCTGTAAACAAATAAAGGTTGTTTTTACCAAAACGTAAACGTATTTAGAATTACCGCCTATTTCTTTGACATTTAAAGTATATGTCAGACAGTTAAGTTTAAAATTAAACAATTATATTATGTTAAAATAAGGACCTTCCCTCATTACCTTTATATAGTACAAAATATGATGATATATGTAGTTAGTGTCAGGAGTCTTTTATAAATATTGGGCCTTATTCCATTTGAATAAAGCTCATATCCGCGCTTAAATATATCTTAGAAATATATATTACACCCATTCAAACGATTTGAGTGTTAAGCTTACATAAACCAAAATGTTTTTTTCTCGCTCCATATATTAATCATTGAATTTTGCCGTATAATATTTGGGGTATAAACCAACCGTGTTGGGGAGCCTCGATACTAAGCTACAATTGCACTTCGGAGCCCTACTGGTCCCACTCGGCCTCTTCCACTCCCTCCATACTGTCTTGTTCCAATTTGAGATCCATTTGCAGTTTCGCGCTCATCGATTTCATTATCTATAACAAATGTCATTAATTGTAAATAGTAATTTTGGTCAAAACAGTGTTTCCCGACCTTTTTTTGAGTTTCTACTATCTATTAGCTATTTAAGAAGTGTTAGCAATTGTAAATACGAAACCAATATGTGACATGTTAGAAAAGGACAAACAGCATGTATGTATGTACTGCTTACAAAATTTTAGTCTTGTAATCTATGAAGTTGTCTATACCATAAACAACGGTTTTTGCTAATGCTGGAAACCGGATGTTGTTGACTCTTATTCTTCTGACAAAATGTACTATGTGTATTGTAATATAACAAAAAAAATGGTTTAGGAATTAGTAATCTCCCTATAAATTGATTACCTCTACTAAGAAAATCTGGCAAAAAAATCAACTCCTACATTTCTCTATGTTATCTTATGTTTATTTATTATTATTTATAAGTGTATAACTTACACTGTCTTCCTTCTCTTTAGGATTCAACGGCACATGGGCCTTGATCAGGTCAGGTTTGGGTTTCTGCTGAGATTTCTCTGGTCGCGGCGTCGATGGTGTCGTATGCGCAGATACTGCAAGTATATTATGATTCTTAGTACTTATAACTTCTACTTATCTTATATCGTAATAGAGAATCAGTCGTAAGGAGTGTACCAAGCCATAAAGCAAGAAATTAAATTATCATCAAGAAATCGGAGATATGAAAATATTTTTTAAATGTTTCATAACAAATATAATTACGTGAATGTGCAGTGTATGAAGTTTTAAAAAAATAGTTTTGAATGTCTTAGTTTTGAATCCGTGTATTTTTCTACAGGTTGCAGTTGTACTGCTACAAAATCGGTCTGGGTAGATAGGTTGTTGTAGGCTGACCACAAGCAAGGCGGTCAGACCGGCCAGAGAGTGTGTGGTGTGCGGTGTGCGGTGTGCGGTGTGTGGTGTGTGGTGTGTTGTGTGTTGTGTGCGGTGTGCGGTGTGCGGTGTGTGGTGTGTGGTGTGTGGTGTGTGGTGTGTGGTGTGTGGTGTGTGGTGTGTGGTGTGTGGTGTGTGGTGTGTGGTGTGTGGTGTGTGGTGTGTGGTGTGTGGTGTGTGGTGTGTGGTGTGTGGTGTGTGGTGTGTGGTGTGTGGTGTGTGGTGTGTGGTGTGTGTGTGTGGTGTGTGTGTGTGGTGTGGTGTGTGTGTGTGGTGTGTGGTGTGTGGTGTGTGTGTGGTGCGGTGTGCGGTGTGCGGTGTGCGGTGTGCGGTGTGCGGTGTGCGGTGCGTGTACTGACGGGGCTCCATGCCGGGCGGCTGCAGGCTGGCCACCCGCGGTGCGACGGTGGCGCCGCGGAGCCAGTCGGCGGCGGCCTGCCACGGCTCCCACGTCACCGCCGTCGGCGGGAACAGGTCGTCTTGGAACAGCTCGCTCTGGTGACAACCGTTTATATATTACTACCTGCCACCCACATCGTTTATATTTTCTGAGATAAAAGGTAACCTATCCATATTCACGTCAAATATCTAACTGATAGACAATCACTTACGCATTTGTATCTATAAAAAATATTACAGTTTAGACAAATATTTATTATGATTTTTTATTAATGTTCAAACACAATTGTATTATAAATAAATGACTATAATATTACTATGGATTCAAATGTATTAAATATTCTATATCGTACTACTTTAGGTAGGCTATTCTATCACCAAACAGAATGATTGCTTTTAGCAATAAAACCGCCTTATTGTAACGATACATGTGTCCTTGTTATATTGTTTGTGCTTCTTCTTTACGGTATGTTGCAAATAAAGTATATTCTATCTATCTATCCTAATAATCATCATAATAAACATCTCATAAAGATTTTAGCTATTGAAATCTTTATACTAAGCAACAAAACACGTATTCAAATTAAGAATGTCAAAAATTAATTCAATTTCCTGATTTTTTAAATCATACTATTTAAGTTTATAAAAAATAAATTTACCTTTATTCTGGGCACTGTGAACGACAACGGCTCGATATTACCGTTTGTAAGTCGCAACGCTCGCGCGAATTCAACCTAAAAAAGTAATAATGATTGAATAGTTTACTATTTTCGTTAGTATTACTATTGTGGCGCTATGGAATGGATTCAAAAACTATATATCCATATAAATAATACAAATTAAATACAATTTTGAAAAGAGTAGTGAAACCATGAAATAAAAGAAAAATGGGCATACCGTTTTGGATATAACTTGAAAGGAAGTAAAGTTATTGCTACTATAAAATCCATACACAAACAGAATTATAATATTATAGTGGCTCGATGCAGGTATTTTAGGCGTATTTGTGGACTCCTTTATTTGGGACCATTTACAAAATATATGCATAAAACGATTTGGTTGATGTATAATCTAATAATATTGAATGCAGTGCATGAGACATGCAATGCAATATAAAAAGGTAATTTGGAGCACAAAAAGAATATCAATTTACAAAACAAAATTATCAAGTTCATTGTAGTCCCAACTTTTGGAACCACTGTCATCCAGGTGTACCTTTTCGACGGCGAGTAAGTTCTTGTGCAGGAAGCTGATCCCCTGGTGAAGAGTGGTCGCGCGGTGGTGAGACAGCGGGACCACGAATGGCGCCTCGCACGTCACCTCGTAGCAGTAGATCGTCGAATCGCCCTGACCAAACCACACATTCAGAAATATGTTTGATATGTTACTAGAGCCTGTATTTATGTTCAAGTTTGTTGTGTATATAGGTATTTTATTATAATAAAAGTAAATTGCAGACATCACTACATAGTATAAAACTAAGTCGCTGTCGATGTCTGTCCCTTCCTAAGTATGCTTAAATCTTAAAACTACGCAACGGATTTTGAAGCGATTTTTTAAATAGATAGAGAAATTCTATAGGAAGGTTTATATATATATACTACATGAACACCTGTGCGAAGCCGGGGCGAGTAGCTAGTAAACAGTATAAATTTATAATGAAGAGGACAACAACTAATCAGTATTTCTGAGAAGATATTTTGTGGTATTTTATGTTCCCGCGCAAACATAATGTGCCACAGATGCACAATATTGCACGGCGCACAGCCGCAGTAGGATGACGAGCGCGTCAAAGCTGTATGCGCGATGTTAATACTAGTATGTGTATTAACAACATCAAACTATTGCATTAACTCACAATGTGCCATTCGAGCGATTTAATTTCAGCCCAAGTCTTAGACGAGGGCGTAATAGAGCCGATTGTGTTAAATACGGACGTGTTATCGTACGTTTCTCAACACACTTGATTTTAAATTAAGTCAACAATAAATATGTAATGCACAATGTTGCTTTCCCGCGTTTTACTTTTTTAAATAAGCGCGCGGCCTGCTGGCTGGCCAGGCGCGGCGGTCAGTTCAAAATTGATAAAAAATAGCAAATAAAGCGGTAGTAAATATTCCATGTAACTTCACTATTTGGGTTTATAACTCACGTGTTTATGAGCTGCTTTATATATAGAAAACCAGTGAAATTAGATCCACTTTACGAGCAAGTGTGTTATTACATAGAAAATGTGTATTACCCGTCCAGTTAGAAACAGGGTCCCCGAATCATGGTCGATGTAGGTCTGCAATATGGCCGGAGACACGTCCAGCCCCACAGTACACAGCGGCGCGGACAGATCACTAGCGCAGTACAATAAGATCTGACGCTCTGACACTCTGTAACAAACCACATCACTATTACTACACACGACTATGATATACAGAGTAAGCTTTAACGCTTGTTCACTCGACAAATTGTACAAAGAAAAATATTAACAAAATAATAGTTAATATTATCAATGAGTCTGGTAAATTATGAAACTTTATGGCTGCATAGAGTTTCTTAACTTATGGTCCACAAGAGTATGGAGGTTCGTAACTCATCTCTGGACCATTTATGTAACTATAAAAAAAATGCTAAATGTAGTGACCACTGTCACCATAATTATACTGAATGAATTAAACACCTCGAGCGTGTGAAACTACTTTATAACTGTAGTACCCACATATAGTTACTTTATAATTACCCACAACACCCAAGTTTGAAAGGTCGATACAAGGTTTTTTGAGGGAGTCTCGGAACTCTGATATAATCTTGCATATTATTATATATCTAGAAATCCATTAGTTTTATTTAATTTACATCAAGTGTGTAATTTTTAAATTAGAATAATTTTAATTACGAGATCGGTAAAATTAAATCACTTTATATGGCAACAAATAATTAGTTTTCTTCTTCATTACACCTAATGAATAGCTGAAATGGTGATGATGGTGATGACGATCACCATCATCATCACCATGTACAAGTACGTACTTGTCGAAGCCGGTGACGACGAGATGAGTGTCGCCGAGTGCCCACACGATGCGTGCGCCGCGACCTCCAGCTGGCCCTTTTCCGCTGCGTATTGCTTCCGTTGACGCTCGTGGCTCAAATACCTACATATATATATTATAATTTAAATCCTGTCATATATATACAAATAAATATACAAATTGTCCCGAAACCAAACTGCTTCTGGATAGTTAAAAAAAAATTGGATGTTTATAAGATGGCAATAGTTCCACGTTTACATGCCACTACTTATTTTTAAGTTTAGTCATAAATTTGAACAACAAATGTATGGTATGGTGGTACCATGTAGTGGAAAATTGGCTTCGAATTCCACTTTATGGGATTGTACTGCTAACCAATATGCTTCACTGTGAGTGATAGAACTCACAGTGAAGCATATTGGTTCAGTAAGGAAGACTTTCCTGACTTTTTGCTGACATTTTACATGCCAGTTTATGGAAAATTGTTACATATAATATGAGCATACCCTGATCAGACCATCCTTGCAGACTGTAGCGAGGTATTCTCCACTTTGCGACCAGTCAATAGCAAAGATCTGATCTGTGTGGCCAGTGAGGGTGATGGCAGGTTTCGGTTCCTGCTCGCTAAGATCCCATATCTTAACGGTGAGATCGTGAGCGGCTGTGGTGAGCAGATCTGATGCGGTCGGGTGGAATCGGATGAGGTAGATCTTGTCGGGATGAGCGGAGAACGTGCGTGCAGGTTCGTTGGTTGATTCTTGTAGACCTGTGGGACACACCAAGAGATTAAACAGATTTGTTACCCCATAATTTAATAATGCATATTTTTTTAATTACTATAGACTACCGACCACACATTCGTATATTTATTTATTTACTTCTTAGGATTACCAAAATAAGATACAGTAATACAACATGTCGTGCTTCTATATATATTAATGGTCTTACAACTAACTGTTTTTAAGTAACCACAGCATGTTTTGTCTAGTTACGAGTACTTTATGAGAATACCATTATGAATTTTGTGTCGTCAACTTCATGTAGACGGCGTCAATAAATTGTAGTGATACATATGAAGTGTAAGTGAAATATATCGGTATATATGTAGGCAGTCGTCGAACGTAAGAATAGAGATATTCACGAAATTACTAACTACTATAGTAATCGTATAGTAAATTGTTGTTACTATACGGTACACAATTTTAGTTACGCTTTATATATATTATGTATAGAGCGTAATCAAAATTGTGTACCGTTGTTGAATATGATCTATTTACGCACGAGGCCGTCGCCGAAAGTGACAATAGAGATATCCACGGAGACGACCATTTAGTATAGTAACTGTTGAGGAAATCGTAGTGATACATGTGCGTCATTGAAATATAGAGGTACTAGCGGTGCCCGCGGTTTCATCCGCATTAAATTTCAATAAAAAAAATATAGGCTACGTGTTATTCTGCATATCAGCATATACATAAATCAATTTTCAACAAAATGTGCTCAGTAGTTTTCGCATGAAAGAGTAATAAACATCCATACTCACAAACTAATCAGGTTTATAACGTTATTAAGTTCGAGACGTGTGGGTAGAGTGCGTACCGTGGTCGGGTATGATCCACTCGCGCACGAGTCCGTCGTCGCAGGCGACCAGCAGCCGGGTGTCGGTGAAGGGGTCCCAGGCCCAGTCCTGCAGCGGCGCGGGGTGCAGCAGCGCGGCGGGCTGGCGGGCGGCGGGCGGCGCGGGGGGCGCGGCGGCGCGCGGGGAGGCGCCGGCCGGCAGCTCCACCACGCCCACGCGCCCGCCGCCGCCGCCCAGCGGCACCGCGCACCGCACGCCGTTCGCTGCACACACCACACCACACCACAGTATAGTTGATGAGTGCCTCTAGGTCTAGTCCGCGAGACAGAAGTTAATGTAGTTGATGAGTTCCTCTAGGTCAATGTTTTCTAACGTGGAGTCTACGCGCCACAGGGGAGCAATTCGAAAATGGACTCCATTAAAATCATGCGGAATGTAAATTTCAATTATTAGTCAAAGATGAGATATGGCACTAAAAAAGATGAAAAACACTGCTCTAGGTCAAAAATTTGTAAAATTATAAAGATAATCTAGAAATGGACGTGTCCATTACATCTATACAGATCGCAGTGCTACTAATCTCTTTAACACTGAGTAACCCAAATCCCTTTATAAAAAAAATAAAATGGTTCTATCCTAAGCTACTAGTATTTAACACTTACCATAAAATCCATTGCACTCTCCAGAGATTTGTCTGCTTATATTCTTAATATTTTCAATATGTGTAGACTTGTGGCCTGGTGTCCCTTTTAAGTGGCGGAATTTCGACACTTTGCCTATTGACAAAACAAAATATTTTAATTATAAATTATACAATAAAAACAGACAATTGAACTATATTAACCTTTTTTTGCAACCCACGATTAAGAGAATACCAATGTTTAATTGATGTGACTGAAGAGCTTCTAAACAAACTCGAACGCCTTTAAAATCTAACAAGTAAATTCGATCTATTTTTATATTCATCTTATATATAAAATTCTCGTGTCAAAATGTTAGTTACCATACTCCTTCGAAACGGTGATCGATTTTTATAAAATTTTATATGCATATTCAGTAGGTCTGAGAATGGGTTACTATCTATTTTTCATACCCCTAAGTGTTTTTTTATATAATGTGGCATTAAAAAGTACGCTAGTAACGCTAAATTTCCAGCCGTCTATCACCAATCCCTATTTTTAATAGCGATTTTAGTTTATATGGCAAAACAGACTCCATATTCCTTTTCGACGTGATCCTTTCCTGGAGTTTGAAAAATAATTATCATATGCAATGTTAATTGTTTTATGTTTGTATATTTTTCGGCATATTTATGTATGATTCTGTTATTATATTATATTAATAATAAAATATTTATTTATGAAATACATATTATTAAAAAATGTAGGTAGGCACTTTTTGCATACCCACCGTTTTCCCTACCATGGTTACCAAAACCACATTTTACAAACAGACACGCGCGCGCGACGCTCCGAAATATAATTAAAAAGATGTGGTGAAATAAAGTGCATAACGAGTGAATTTATACTAGGACCCTGGTACGTGCCGAATAAAATTTAAACCCTCAGAGCATCAAAAGGTATGGACTGACAATAATCACGCACGCTTCCATTTTTTTCCCTAACTCATATATTCAATATGTATTGATATTCTCGCATTATTTATATATTTCATATACTGTTTTAAACTTGACGCGGTCATTATTTATACGTATAATTAGTAGGGATCTTACCACGTTTTATATTTATTTGCTGAGTTCCCGATATTTCGGTAGTGTTTCAACCACCATGCAAATGAACTCAGCAAATAAATATAAAACGTGGTAAGATCCCGTGATTTTTACTAATTATACGTATTTATATATTTAGTATTGTTTTGTCTTTACAACACTCACGCATGAGTATTATTCGATGCCCGTCACCGTCACTGTCACAACGCCAACCTAGGGCTGGAAGAGATATCTTTCTATATTAAATACAAAGATACTTTCCATATTAGTATAAATTTTTAATATTTCTATAACATGTTCATTTGTAACTCACCAAACACAGTGGAAGTGCGCTTCGTGGTGACATTTGGAACAGAGGCGCGCTTGTCTTCGCGATCTGGACTCTTGCGGGACTTCAACGAGTCTCGGCGTCTGTAATAATAAGACATTTAGCACAAATAAAGAGAGCGTCGTCGAGAGAGAGTCGTGTGCTGACTTAAAAGGGGCTTTGTTTGAATCTGGCCTATACCAGAAATTTTGTTGGGACACTAATATCAAAAATATTATTATTATTATTCTGCCACTGCTTTTACTCTATAAATTATAAGTGTACGAAATTTCATACTTCTGTGTCTGGGCAAAAAGGGATACAAAGTTTTTGCTTCACGTATAAATACAATGATAGTCGAAAAGCTTCCATATGATGGCCCTGTGTGATATGAAAAAGATGAAAAATGTAACCTGAGGGGCGCGGGCGACGGGGGCGTGTCGGATTCAACGGCCACGCTCACCGACCGCGACTCGTACGCACGCCGCCGCTCAGCGATCGACTGGTTCCCGCTGTACACACGCGACACATACACATACACAGAACAAACATTACCCAATGGGGGGAAGGGAATTGTTAGTAATGTGGACTAATAAATCCATTGCAAGCAATGAACCATGTCAGGTTGACCTCTTCATGGTTCCGCCTGGAAATCTGGTAAATGTAATTGCCATGTGCGAAAATGGACTAACTGACCGTTAGGCGGGTGTACCATTCCGTTCCAAAAAAACATTACCCAATGCACAAACAAATAGCGAAACGCACACATAACCAATGTTGTTTATACATTATAAGATACGATCCCACCACCACTTGTTTTTTATATGTTCTTTAGAAGCCATCCACTACGTCACACGCATTTCAAGATTTTCCACCATTTTGCCGTCTTTGTCACACTTATGAAACTCCCCCCACCCTACTGAATGTGACGCAACATGTTGTACACCTAAAAATTTTTAAATACAAACAGAGCGTTTAATACTTGCATTCGATCGTCTGGTGAAGCTATAAAAGTCAGCTGCGGCCAACAGTATTGGAATAGATCGAAGAAAATTAATTTAGAACCGTTCTTATCTTATCTAATACCATGTCATACTTTCACAACCCCTCTTCGTCTCCCCTAGTTTGTGGCATAATTTAAACTGTATATGTTATTATGCGAAAATAATCCATTTTAATCTGGTATATTAGTATTGTGAATTATTAGTAAGATTATATATTTTTTTCTTCAGTCTACAAAAATAGGCTAGGGAAATAATAGTAAGTACAGATTATTTGTTTCAAATAATTTAACTCACTCTGTAGTCTCGAACAGTTTTCGCCTCTCGGCCGTGCTTGGTGTCTTCGGTCTGTACCCAGAGTCTGAAGAATTCACTTCTTCTTCTAAGCTCGTATCTGATTTACCATTTGTGTATTCCTCTGTAACAAGTAAATCATAATAATGTTAGTTGTTGTACTATTTTTAATTAACATACATTAATTGGGACAAACTGAAAGCTTTTGAATTAGTTCAAAAGATGATATGAAAAATGAAGAAATATTTTGAAAAGGATTAAAAAAAAGAGACAGATCAGAAATATTATTGAAAACAGGCGGAAAAAAATGTTGTGTCACGAAATGGCGTTCTTATAGCGAAACCAAGAGATACATCAAGTAATTTTCTCTGCAACAATAGTCACTCATTATTGGAACATACTGAAAAGTAGTTCATAGTAATACAAAAATAATAATATTATCAAAGGAATAACAGAAGGAAAGAGGGGAAGGAATATCAAGACAGCTATATCAAGCAGATCAACGAAGAAGTCCTAGTCGTGTAGTAACGACAACTAAAGAGGTTAAAATCGTTGCAAATGGCAAAACTCTACCGACGAGAACCCGGCTTAAATTGGGAATGGAATGTATTTTATTGTTAAGTGTTAGGGATTAACAACTGTAAACTCTATTCATATTTTCATTATTTTTAAATTTATATGTTTATTATTTTTAAATTTATTTACTTTTAGAACTGTTCTATTTATATGTTATGTTGTTTAATATTTCACTTATTGTCTACTAGTTCGCAGCAGCATTGTAATAATATTGTACCATCCAAATCTACCATCTAACTAGACACCAACACAGTCCACCGATCTGTTACAAGTGGCTTACCTTTGGTAGCTACTTCCACGTCGCTAGTTGGAGATAGGGACTTATCCTTCTCATCTGTGGAATCCTTTGCGATGGGTGTTGACGTCACCGGAGTGGTTGCTGATGTAATTGGTGATGTCGCTGTAACAAACACATATACCATATGTATAATATACATAACAATACTGTATAAACGGGACATTTTTTTATGTAACTTGATTGGTAATCATGTTATTCTCCGTGTTGTTGTTCTCGGTGGTCTAGCGGTTTAGCACACCGCTCTTTTTCCGATCCGGTCGGGGGTTCAATTGCTCGCACGGTGCATTTGTATTCATGAGAACGGTCTGGTGTTTTCTATGTATATTATGTTTGCACTTACAAAAAGCATTACTAAGTATTTATATCAGTTGTCTAGTACCTATAAACCAAGTTCTGCTTAGCTTGGGACTAGAAGGCGCTGTGTGTATTGTGTAGGGTTATTATTATTCAAAATTGTATGGCTTACAATATATTGTGCATTAACTTATGGAAACACCTAAAGTGTCTCTAGTCTCCACCTCTAGACTTGAAGCTGACTACTCAGGGGCGGACTAAGGTCAATCGAGGCACGTGACTAAGGCCCGTATTTTATATTATTTGAAAATAAGCCCAGAATTATAATATTACCTAGAACCTGCTTTAGCCTTAGTCCGCCACTGTGGCTATTCCATGGATATATATGTACTCACCAGAGTCAGACTTGGTCATGCCGGGCACGGCGGGTACTGAGAACACCTTGTCGAACGAGAAATCCTCACTGCCAGACGACGTGGAGAACGGCTTAGGGCCCAGACGAGGCTGTACGATGTTTCAAAAAACGATAATTATTAATAGATTTTCTAAGCTAGAAACTTAGAAAAATCATTATACTTATTTCTACATATGCAGAAATATTTGCCACATCTTTTTGTATAGCATACAATCAGAACACGAAAAAATTATTTATTATTATTGAGTTCCCAATATTTCGGTAGTAGCGTTACACGTGTAGTGTTACACGGGTAGCCCATTTAACAAGCCCGTAATCTTGGCGGTTATAACACTGCCGAAATATCAACCAAACCAAAGGCCGTCTGGAAGAGATTGCGTTACATATAAGACCGCCTTTTATACCTGCTTCTTTCCTCAAGATTTTATCTTATTTTTCATTGTATCTACTTTTAATGTTTGTGCAATAAAGCATTACAAATTAATAAATAAAATCTACACAATAATCCCATTCATTTTGCCATATTAAGATTTTGCCTTTCATACTTGATAACTTCTCAACAGAACATGTATAGTATAAAAACATTATTAGTCATTTTAATATATTTTTCACTTTAAATCACATTTAAAATTAATAAAACCATGCATAATGTCTTTTAACAGATAAAACGCAAAATTAACAAACATATTCAAAATCAGTGGTAAAACAATATAAACATTATTCGCGGCGATCTGACAAGCCGCAACAAATAAAGCAATTATATGTTAAAATAAAAGACGTTTTAATGTAAATGTCAGAAATCAAATATTTGCAATATTTATCTGTATTAAACGACCATTTTTTTTTATTATCTAGAAACACAAATTATAATTTATATTAACTAGAAACACAGATATACATTTCATTTTAAAATAATTAACTTATATTAAAAATTGTTGTGATTAAAAATTAAATAATAAAATATTGTAACCTTACCCTCGCATTTATTATTAAAAAAAATGTAATATAAATATAATGATAGAACATAAAACAAAAGCATACTAAAACAGTATCTACTGCAATCACATCATAACAAATCTAAATAATACCTTATAACCAGAGATTGGTACTGTTGTCGTTCTAGGTTTAGGCTTGGGAGCTTCTGTATGCTCCTCTCCAGCTCCTGGCTCTGAAATCGAAGATCTTGGCAAGGGTTTTGGCACTTGTATAGGTATACCATTAATGAGACTATTACTTCTCGACAACGAAGTCTCATTAGAATCTGAGCTGTCGGTCTTTTCTATAACCTTTTCGGTCTTCTGCGCTATCCTCTCCGTATTATCCGTGGCCTTTTCAGTATTGTCGTCTGTCTTTTCAATGTTTTCAGCCAATTCTTTTTCAGCATCAATAGCTTTTTTATCTATGAAGTTATCATGACCATTATCAATGATCTTCTTATGAAATCCGTTGGTATCTTTTGAGTCTGTAATTTTTGGCTCCCTGTTTTTTTGCCGTTCCATATCTTTGATTAGGTCTTTAACGTTGACGAAATCTATGCGGTCTTCGTCTATGGGTTCGGGTTGAGGTTTGACGACTGGTTTTACTGGTTCGTCGACTTGAACTGGAGTAATGGGTTTCTTGTTGTCAACTTTCTTTGGAGGTGGCATCGCTAGGATAGTATTTACAAGCTCTTCTAAGTTTCCTCTATGCACCTGAAATTGAAATTTATATTACAGATGTAAATTGTGTAATACGAATTCAGCTTACTTCGTAAATTATTGTTCACTTTAGATGTGTAAACCTAATAACATTTATCGAGCTGTTTTATCTTATACTTTCAAATTATACTTATACATCACTAAACGAGGGTATATGCTATCAATTATCTCAATAAAGTAGACGATACCGAAGGTAACAACTAGTTTATAGACAGTTTTCTATATTTGAAAGAAATGACAAGACACTCGCAATTGTAAAAATGGTCTTGAGACTAGTTTATTTTTTAAAATAAATTAAATTAAATTGTGGGATTTTATTTAAAAACATACTGGAAACTCTATATAAATGTAGATATAGATTCTGTATAAATGACAAAATAATGGGTTCCCGGTCTCATAACATATGAAGCAAATAAAATCTAGATACAGTAGTTTCGTTTTGCGTATCTAGATTACAGAATTTAAACTAATTGCAAATCAGTTTATCTATCTTCTCTATCTACTTTATACTAATAATAATATATTAATAATAGTAATTATAGAATATAAAACTATACCTACCATCATTATATATATTGTATAATGGATTAAGCAGTCTATTTTTAAACAATATCCCAACATCATCAATCAAACAGTTTGATGTAACTATTAGTTTTATGGGTGTATACTTGACCATAGATAATAAAAATAAAACAAGCAAAACAAACCACATCTAGTCAATGTTGGTAGCATTGACATTAATGCAATCATATATGAAAAAGAAGTACTTACGCTACACAAATAACCCCAGGCATTCAGATTCCAACTACATTCCATACTACACTAACACCAACTACAAAAAAAGAATTAAAAAAAAATAAAAACCGCATAATAGAACCACGAAAATAAAACGAACACAAAATAAAACAAAACATCACACACACAACTCAACTTACCTTTGTGAATTTAATAACGCAACGGTTAATATTTTTACAAAAAAACTTGATCAGAGTATGAATAACTTTTTTTCAAGTTGTATAGTCTAAACAAAAATACATAATCACGTTGTAACTATTTAATGGTTTCCATAAATAAATAAAGTTTAATTATAAGCAAAATGACTTTTAAAGCAGACATAGATATAAAATTGCCAATCCCCACCATGCATAATAATATCTAATGATTGGGCTCATGCGTTTGCGTATATTTCAAACAAATAATTATATTAACAAAGGTGTAATGTCAAATAAATCGAATCTAAATATTTCATACATGTTTAATACTGCACATAAAATAGAAAAAGAATATGTATGGCAACACAGCCAGCATCTGGTCAATGTGACCAATTTCCTTCCGGTTGGAAACTTCTATAAAAGTTAAGGTTGTATAAAGCAGTAGACAACCTGTTAAAATAAATTTCCTAAATAATATGAACCTTAAAAGTTATAAAGCTTTAAAAGTTCTAATTCTATAAAAAAACATTTGCGAGGGTCCTATTCGCCTACCCGCCCTTGGAACCGCAGCTGACTTTTACTAGGCTTCCTAACACAAATATCTTAACCATTTTAGAAATTTAGAGAGAGAAATGATTTACGAAATTAGGTCTTGTGTTTGGTTACTATACAATTATTTATTTATTATTGTAGTATATTTTTCGCATGTATTTTATAAAATACACAGAATATATTCTGTGTGTGTTAACATACAGATATAGAACAAAAGACGATGCAATTACCTGTGAATTGTTGGCGTCAGGATGCATGGAGATGTTGGGCAACGGATGGTCTTGATTCTGCAGCCACATGGGTGCGCTGAGGTAAGTTACTGCGCCACTCGTCTCCGGGTACAGGTCCGCGTGGTAATCCCGATAACTCTGCAACACATAACCTCAAATATTAAAGCTTAAAATATATCAACGATCTGGAAACCAATTCCAATCAATATTGGAATTGGTTTCCAGTTTTCATTACGTAATTTTAGCACGTGGACAACTGAACTTTTCCCAAGACTAATAAAATAGACCTACAGATATGTGCGTTAATTCTGAAACCCATTCTCAAATATTCAAACATAAGATATATTAAGCCAGACGATCACGAAACCAATTCCGATTTGAATTATGATGTAATCACATTTTCACTTACTAAATATCCCGTTAATATAAATTATAAAGTATCTTAAAATCGTTATTTACCTTCCTCTATTAAAAAAGTAGTTTGTTTTTAATCATGGCAGCAAATACATGTAAAAATAAATATGTTTAAGAACATACTGACCTTCCTGGGCACCTGGTACATAATGGGTACCACAGTCGAGCTGGCGAGTTGCAGCACGCGGTTCACCTCGGCCTCCATCACACGCAGCGCTCGTTTTGGCACCAAACACGCGCCCTTCGTTTGTTCACCTAGTTAGTAAAAAAAGCAGAAAAAAGCTGTCACAGGGAGGGTCCCATTTTGATATTTATAAGAATAGATTTGGTCCCCGCCGTTAACTATAGGCTTCCAAGCTATATTCGAACTCCATTCAATGCCTGATGATGCCTCGTTTATAGGCGAAACACGTTGTAATATGGGTGTAAACGCAATAATGGTCGGAATTTGTTCACTATTAGAGAAGGTAGTAACGGTAGTCAATTTTGTGCACTGAATATTAGACTCTAGACTCCATTCAATGCCAGATGATGGCTCGTTCAGAGGCGAAACACGTCGCAATATGGGAGTAGACTCAATAACGGTCGGAGTCACCCTCAGAGAAGGTCGTAACGGTAGTTAGGTTTCCGCACTGAATCTTTGTGATCTTATACATGCTAATTGTATTAGAATTATACAAAATAATATTAAGAAGCCATATGGTGTTAAGACTACCAAATGTACTATTACTTATTGTATTGTGTGCATTAAAGTTACAAATATATATACGAGTATATATACTCACCCGAGTGCCTCAACCCCTCTATAAGATATGGCTCCCGATCAGTCAACTCCATGTAGAGTATGGTGGTATCTCCCTTTCCAGCCAAGAACAGCATGTTCGTGTCCGGGTCGAACAAAGGCATCAGGATCCCAGTGGAGCAGTCCAGTTCCAACGTCTTCTGGGTTTGCGACAGGTTACGTACATCACGGATCATGATCTGACGAAGTCTGGCAGAATCAAAACCTGTTAATGAATAATAAAAATAACTTATTTACAGAATTTCGTCCTCACAGACTTCCAAGATACATAGATGTTTATTTGCTTGTACATAGTATTTAGATCTTAAGGATAAATGTCACTTTTTGTATGGGCGGGGCCATATACCTTTATAGATAAACGAAAAAATCACTGTAATAATAGAGTAATCCGAGTAGAGCTTAAAGTAGATAGTTACGGCAAAATTTCGATTGAAAGTATTGCTATCGCGCTTGGGTGAGAGGAGACTCGAGGTCTCTGAATAGAGATAGAACGAATACTGAAGAATAGCTACATCGTCATTTTTATTCATCTTAAAATAAAGATCGAATATAGTACAGTAGCATATTCGCCTCACAATCAGTAGCTTGTTTGCTATTTATTCTAAGAATTACAAATCTAGTGTATTCTTAAATTTATAAATCTAGTGTAATAAATACACTCTTGTAGAGTGCCATCAACAAATATTAAATTGCCGACTCATGTGACGACTCAATTAGATGCAAGTGCTCAACAAATGTTCGCGACAATTTCAAAAACTACTGAACAGATTTAGACACGATCAACAGAGTAATTCCCAACGAAGGTACAAAGTCACTTGACGGCCTCGGTGGTCTAGTTTAGTAAACTGCCTTACTCCCGTATTTTCCATGTATATTATTATATTTGAAAAAAAAATATATCAGTTGTGTTGTGCCCGTAACACAAGCTATGCATAGCTTGAAACTGAGATATTATTATTATTACTAGGGGATTGTCCATTAATCACGTGAGGTTTGAAAGGGGAGTGAAAAAAATACACGTGATGTTGGAGGGGGTAAAAATAATGTAGCATAGTGTTCTACCACCCGTGATAGGTTCGTGATAAAACTGAACAAATATAATAAAAACAGACCGGTAGTTAATATACGATCCTGATCTCCGAGCCACACGACCCTGCTGTCCTTGATATTCTGATGACTGTTGGCCACATCCACGACTGCAGTGGATGCTCTCGGATCAATGATGCGTACTTTCTTGTCCTTGCATGACGTCACGATCAGTCGTCCATCTTTCTTCCACGACGAGGACTGAATCACCTCACCGTGATCTCTATTAACTGTAAAATTTATATGTTACAAGACATTTGTTTACTGACATTGGATGTTTATTTTAAAACATACTCATCTCAGCAAACTATACTCCTAGTGTCTTAACTACACTGAATACACTTTTATATTTGTTTTTGTTTAATAAAAATAAATAAAACGTAGTAAGCTGATATAGTATGATATTACTTAAATTTACATACAAATAATGACCACCAAATTAAAAAAATATATATTTTGTACCTTGGTTATTACTATTTGTTATAAAAAAGTTACCGAAAGCTTCCTTCTGCTTGGTCAAATCCCATAAAGCGAGTTCATGTCCGGACGCGACATGTATTAACCCATCAGCCACTGGGTGGAATCCAACATTCTCCACTCGCCGTTGCTTCTGCGAGAGTGTGCACTCAGCAGTGGACAGCGACTCCTTGAGACCCTCTGGTGGGATGTGCCAAACTTTCACCTACGACAAGACAGATTCCGATTAATGTAAATGTAATTATATGTGGAAAAGAGAAGGAAGTTATTTCCTCTCTAGCACACAATGCTGGCGTCATGGAGCCATTACGTTGTAACTGGCAAATGAAAAGAGTAATTGGGAAGACAAACGGTACGGTACGGTAATAGTAAATACTATAGCGGCAGGATTTGTTAGAACGCACTTATGTCTGGAACTGGATCAAAGGATTTTCGCCGTCGTAATTTCTATCCGCGTAAGTATAAAGTGATCCAGGTGGTATTTTATGCCAAAGGTAATGCTATCAACAATTTGCTTTATTAACTTTAAAATCGCTTATTTTTATACAATTTTAATTGGGGCACTTAAGTAGTCTTTTTTTATAATATATCTATGGTTCAGACAGGACATACTTTAATAATATAGGTAGTCTAGTGCAGTTTATAGAGATCCTGCGAAGGGCATACAGGTAATCCCATTAGATAATAATTATTAACATGGGTCGATGCATTCAAGAGGAACGATAACTCCGTAAATACTGCTGTCCATTACCTCATAAATGTTATCTATATTGTTAATGTATCATATCTGACGTCTTTATGACTTCCTATCGTTATCGTACATCCACCATTACCTGACCAATAGGTCCAGTGACTAATTCACTAGGAATTAAGTAGGATAGATAACCAAGGGAGACTGTGTGTGTGTAATACGACTCGACATTACTAGCAAAACTACTATAATGTATTGGAAATATATTGGAATATGGTAGATTATTGTATAATATAGTATAATAGTCGTTTAATAGCTACTAAACTAAATTACTAACAATCACATTTCATTCATTAGCAGGTCATACAGACCAATTGTGATTATTACAATACAAATAAATAACCCTAGACAATTAACACAGCACCGTCTAGTCCCACGGTAGGCAGAGCTTGTGTTATGGGTACTGACAACTACAGACAACTAATATAAATACTTAGATAATTTTTTTGAATAGATACATAATATAGTAAGATAACATCTAGACCATACACACAATCATAGTCATGAATAGAAATGTTTGCGCCGTGCGAGGAATCAAAACCACGACCGTCGGAGACAAAGCGTGCAAAACCTAGGCTTAGCACACCGCTACCGTCAAACCACCACCGATGCCGTCAAAACGACGGAATATGAGACTTAAAAAATGAACCGATCGATCTAACGTATATTTGTTCACTCCACCAAAATTGTAATTTATCACAGTATTTACCAATTAAATTAAAGAAATCAAGCGAATTCTATCATTTTCTACAACCCGTAATCTGCTGAAGCCAACATCACCTACCATCTGAGCATTCGAGCCGCATCATCACGTACCATTTGGTATGTGATGATGCGGCTCGAATATTATATAATATAAAAGGACTTATTATGATGGTATATGCTAGTTGCCAAAACATAATATACATTCTATTAAAGCAAAACTATGTTATTTAAACCCGTGACTTTACCTATCTATATTTCAGATACTGTTATCAATGCATATTACGATTATATTGACTTCAAATAATAATATGATAAAAATGTAACATCTCAATATGATATTATTTAATATTGGAGACAAAACAAATGTTATATAAGTAAAATTAAGTAGTAAGAAATTTAGTATATCACATTTGTTTCCTATTTCCTTTATTATTGTAAAAAAACTTCTTTACACATTGTATTCATTGAAAAGGAAACATCATGTTTAGTTAAAGTTAGTTAAAACATCAGTCAATTCATTGAGCAAATTTTATTTCTTTCCTTCTTTCTTTCTTTCAAAGCCTAATACTCAGTAATTGATTACTTAAATGACAAATATGCATGGGAATAGTTGTTCATGTACGGATTTTCACAGTGCAAATGATAGAAAAAAAAATTGTGAATTTCGTTTAGCATCTTCCTCAAAGTTTCATAAATTGCCAATTTCCGAATGTTCAAACTATATAAAACGTTTACAAAGTCAATTGTTCTTTTAAACCATCATACAGTTTATAAGATTGATGCAAAATAATGATATTTTTTTTTAATCTAAATGACATGGCAACAATATGGTGGAATACCACCATGGAAATCACAACTCCATATCACATCTGTAGTACTCAAAGTATGTTATCATATTGGACTGGTTGCCATATCTAACACTTCAACTGAAACAAATCTCAAGTTAAACTATTGAACAAATTTGTCTGAATACCTTACTCAGACAAGTTTATACAATAGCTTAACTTTATTAGCCTTTTTGTTATTTTTAATAGATAATATATATATATATATATATATATATAAATAAAATTGCAGTGATTGTTTGTATTATTGAAATCACAGTTTTTTACTAAATGCATATGAATATAAATACGGTACATACACCAAAATGAACAATTTTGTCTGTCTGTCTGTTTGTTCTGGCTAATTTCTGAAATGGCTGGGTCGATTTTGACGGGACTTTTTTTGGCAGTTAGCTAATGTAATAAGGAGTAACTTAGGCTACTTTTATTTTAGAAAAATAAAGTTAAATTCCACACAGACGAAGTCGCGAGAACAGCTGGTCAATAATAAGAACAATACCTATAAAAAATAAAATAATATCTAGATAGAATGTATTCAGCATTCTATTAATATATTGTTATATATATATAAAATATTATTAACACTTTTTATTATTATAAATATAATAAATTATTATTGTTTCCCTATAGCCTCCCATTATCATAACAACATGATTAATTCACTTTAGCTTTAGTACAAACAGTGATTTATTACAGGGAACATTTCATACTTAATTCAAATTATCTGACCTTATAATTCTTCAATATATACAGACAAATTACAATAATATTTTCCAATAAAATAAACAAATATGTCTTCTCCATTTCCTAGGAGATAGAAGAAAATACTTTAACAAATAGAATAGAATAGTCATAGGTTTTTTTTTTAATTTATTGATCAGAAATTGTAATAGAATAGAATAGAATAGAATAGAAAATCATTTATTCAAATAAACTTAATTTATGCACTTTTGAATAGTCATAACAATTTTTTTTACTCGTTCGGAAAGCTGTCTCAGCACAAGAAGAACGAGCAAGTAACTTGTGTGTTGCTCTTTTAAATAATCCTTGTAAGTTTACATTTACAAGTTGAAAGGTGTGAATACAAACTCCAACAAGCACTAATTTTTTGGGTCAAATATAAATATGCAATAAGATTAAATCAGTCGTAGTGATAAGAGCAGACCAGTCCCTATAAGCAGCACTCGTTCACGAGTATGACGGATGAGCCAGCCATCACTGCGCTCGACCATATTTTAGGGAGCCCAATGACCCGGCCCACCACGCCGCCACATGTCTGGACATTTTAGTGAGCATGACTACTCATTCCACTCGAACACGTCACAGCTACAAAAATTACTATATGGTAGTTACAGTATTCGCACTTTACATGAGGATGCATGCGGCAATCAATACAAAAGCCGCTACGCTATCATATATCAAGAAAGCAGTATGAAAAATAAATTATAATGTTGTCTGCAAATATACTTATTCTTGCTATATATTGCTATCATCTATAAATTCATCTATCTTATTATAGGCTTTTTTACATAACATCTAAGATTTTCCTTGTATACATAATATTTTCACAAATGTACTGTGAGACAACGGTGTAGATATTTGATTCTTTAAAGCATTGACGTAATGACTCTCTAGAACCCATACCATAATATTCAGAACACTATCTCATCACAAGAAAAATGAGCTAGAAACTGCGAGGATAAGAACTAAGTTTCTTGTCAGTTCTTCTTAGCTCAGAAGCATTCCGAACTGACAGTAGATCAAACATATCATAAGTCTGCAATAGACCTATAGGAATAAACATATTTGGATTTCATTGATCTTTTGATTTGATTTTATTCATAAATATTTTCTCACTAAACTATTGCATATCAAAAGATTTCTTGCAATGAAATAGAACATATTATTTAATCTGGTTTGCAGTTATATTTAGAAATATGGATGTGCAATTAATGAATATTTCTGTACAAACTGTGTGTGGATTTCTAGGTCAATGTGACCTTGATACACTACCTCATTTTTCATTACAGTGCATAAATCTCAACTGAAATAAGTAACATATGAAAGGAACACTTCCAATGCTCCACTGACCAAGTAGGTTATACATGACACACAAATTCTAAAACAATTTTGCAACACAAAAAAATGCTCCTTCATATTTCTACCATCAAGCTACTGCTCTGAAAGAGGTTCTGGTTTGAAAGAAGAGACATGGCAATGAAATTACAGGGTAAAGAGACATCACTTGATCTTTAGAAATTGTAATATATGAAGTACACTAAAGGATTACAAATGATTTGCAATGCTATCTATGCTAGTCTTTTTATATTATATATATACATAATGCAATTATTGGCAGTGTTGTATCAATTATATGGGGCTCTACTGTTGCCATTTAATATATAAAATAAACAATAAACTCACCAATGAATCCTGTGAGCCTGTAAGTAGTAATCCATCATGGAATGGTGAAAACTCCATATCTGTAATAGTATCTGAATGGGCATGAAGCAATGGCATCGTTTTGCTTTTCCTCCCGCAGTCATCGAGTGGTAACACCGCAAGACTGGAGCCAACATGCTCCCAGTTGAATGCCATGAAAGCAGCCGATGCACAAATGTTGTTCCCATACGTCTGGTAGGAGCCTACACATATATCTCTGATACATGCTTCAGGCTTGGGTACTATAGGTGCAGCATTTTTATATTTCGAAGCTTTGAACCGCCACGCCATTTTTGTCCACTTTTAAATGTTAATCAGTCTTTTATCGGAATGTACGTGCAGGCGATGTAAGCTGAAACAAAGGCAACATATGAAATACACGAAAAAAATTAAAATTAAAATACATATTTATGTACTAATAAAAATTCTAAGTTAAATAACTTTTTGCTAAATAAACTGTAGCAGAAAGGCTCTTTCTTAACACATACCTAATTAACAACTAGAATATTTACATAAAATAATGATTTCAGATTTAAACACAAATTCTGGACAAACAATAGGATTGTTCTATTTCAAGATAACAGAACGGTAGCACTGAGTATTAGACTTCCATTTCCAAAATATTATTTCATTTTCAATGACCACAAAATTTAATTCAATACTAAACCAAAACAGTACTATAGAAAATCGAAAAATTAATAAACACATCTTTGTTTTGAATAACTAGACCGGCTGTCCACCGGAAATGGCCTAAATTTTTATTATAGTAAGAGCAATTATATTGGAAAATATTACATAGGAAATGAATATTATTACAACAATATTTTTAACAATCCACTGACCTTTAGTGCGTATAAAATATCCTGTAATACGAATTTTTGCAAGACACTCCCCCTAAACGTCCGCCATTTCAAAGCGACATAGTGGTGGATCGATAATTTTTAGAAACGTCAATGTTTAGCTGTTTGTTTATTTTTGTATACGTTTTTAAAATCTTGTGATATAAAATTAACAGTCCATTTATATTACAATAAAAATGTATTTTAATCAATATTAGATTTAATCATCGAAAATCAGTAAAGAACGAAAACTTGTTAAATATATATTAACGTATTTGTAACTTTTTTTTATTAATTCATTAACCAACATTTCGACACATAGCAATAACAACAAATTTGTTATCGTTATTTTGCTGAGAGTGCGATAAAGTGCTATTTTGATTTAAATTCCCAAATAGGTTTTTTCTATTACTAAAATTTATTTGACTACAAATTATTGATGTAATACGACTGTATTGCAGTTTTAGCGGAAAATGTTTGTTATTAGTACTATTATTAGTATTTACTAAAAGTACTAACGAAATCCTTAAAAGTTGTTAATCGCTAATTTAAAACTTTTTCATTGTATGTTTCTTTCACATCACTACAGTACGTTTAGTTTTACGCACGTATAGAAACATGTAAACAGAATAAGTGGAATATAACAGGTCATATATTGCCTATAATGGAATGTTTTTTAAGGTATTAACAACGTCCAGAAAAATGGTGCTCAAATTTGACCACCATTTTGGCCAATTTTGTGGGTGTGTCCCTCAGTACTACCTGTATTACTTACTTAGTAAATAATCTCTATCCGGGTATTCATGGGCCTCAAGCATTTGCTACTTACCCGGGCAAACTGCAGGAGTGGGCAATCCCTGCGTCGTTCTTTTTCGCCCTATAATATCACGCAACCGTCTGACGATGATCATTTTAAATTAAAAAACAATATTGTCATTATTTGCCAGATTTGCTCAACCCGACGCTCTATCACGAATGACGGGACTCTTCGGTGGAGAGCGGTAGCGCAGTTTTCGATGAGTTCGATGGAGCGTGAACCCTTAGGTTATGGACAATCAGGTCTATCGACGTAGTTCGAAATAGTATTGTATATCAATATATAGATCGGCACTACAATCAGTAAAAGTCTGCAACAGTAGCAGTAGCGATCCTGGTGACATGGTAAAGCATTTAATTTAACTTAATTTCCACAGAAAAAAAATATCCACTAACCGTAAACCGAGTGGGGAAGGTTGTTAGAAATGTCGACTACCTAATAACCCGATTGCTAACAATATACATGTCAGGTTACTTTCACCTGGTTTCTTCAGGAAACCATCGTGATAATTTCCTGGTGAATTTGCCTCGATAACTGACCTGACTTCATAGTCATCTGATATGAATATAGTATAGAATTATTAATTAAAACTAGATTTACCCATTATTAGGCTTTAATAAACTAAAAATTGTACACGACTATTTGACAGATAAAATGTAACTAAAATCTTCTTCTTATATTTAATGGCTTCACGACATTCACCCGTGCCTTAGAAATCTGTTTGATAATCTTGGAACCGATTAGGTGGGCGACGTAGCCTGGTGGAACGACGTGAAGATATATTTGCCTCAGCAGGGGATGGAAGTGCAGGAAATTGATCTGTAAGAGATTGATTAGTAGGAGATTCTTCTGCGGGAGATTGGTCTGTTAGAAATTGGTCAGCAGTAGATTGATCAGTATTAAATGATTCAGTTTCTGCGTTCGGGTTCTGTTCTCTTACAGGTTCATTTAACAAAGGAGGATTAGCTGGAGCCAAGTACCTATTTGAAATTGCAGTTTCTCGACCATTCTGCAAACGCACTTGAGAATAATGTGGGTTTACATTAAGTACCTCTACTTCTTCTACAAACGGATCGTACTTACTCTTCCTCACAAGATTTTTCATGAACACTGTACTTCCTTCCGTTAGCCATGTTGGCATTGATTGGCCATTGGATGACCTTCGTGGATGAGAAAACATTCTCTCGTGGGGTGTGCACCCAGTACTGGTGCATAATAATGAACGAATGCAATGTAATGTCTGAGTAATAACTGACTCCCAAGCACTTATAGGTAGCTTAAGAGACATAAGTGATAGTTGAATAGTTTTCCAAATAATCCCATTATAACGCTCTGTTTGGCCATTTCCTTGAGGATTATAAGGTGATGAATAACTTGTAGCTACTCCTAAGCTACATAAAAATTCCTTTAATTCTGATGAGACAAAGGATGTTCCTCGATCAGAATGCACAAAGGTGGGTACTCCAAAGATTGCAAATAATTGAGTTAATTTTCTTTTAACGGTTTCAGCTGTTAAATCTGGACATGGAAAGGCAAATGGGAAACGAGAATATTCGTCTACTACAGTTAGAATATACTTATTTTGAGTTCTACTTGGAAGAGGCCCCTTAAAGTCCATTGAAATTCGCTCAAATGGTGTAGTAGCCTTTATTAAAGTCCCAGAAGATTTTATGAATCTAGGTTTAATTTCAGCACATACGGGACATAATGTATTTATGCGTTTGATTTCTTCAACAGAAAAGGGCAAATTTTTAGTTCTTACCCAATGTACCATCCGTGTAATACCCGGGTGACAAAGACTGTTATGTAAATCCATTAATGAATTTCTCGATGTCGAAGCTATGACAGTATTTGCTCGTGACAATGCGTCGGCCACGACATTTTCTCTTCCCGGTCGATATATGATGTCAAAGTTGTAACTACTTAATTCAAGACGCCAACGCTGTATCTTCTCATTTTTGATCTTTGATGTATGTTGCTGGTTAAACATGAATGATATAGAACGTTGATCTGTAATCAGTTTGAATGTTCGTCCTATTAGTAATTGTCTCCATTTTCTCAAACTTTCTACAATTGCCGAGGCCTCCTTTTCAAGAGCAGGGTGACCCCTTTCGGTAGCAGAAAGTGTTCTTGAAAAGAAAGCTACTGGCCGACCTTCTTGAGATAACGTAGCTGCAATAGCGTAATCTGAAGCGTCAGTTTCTACAGTCATTTGTATGCCGCTTTCAATAGCAGCTACTGTAGATTTAGCTATCTCTATTTTAAGATCTTCAAATGCTTTTATAGCGTCCTCCGTAAGCGGAAATGTATTATGATTGACAAATGGTTGTATTTTGTATGAGAATTTAGGAATCCATTTAGCATAGTGCGCAAACATACCTAGTGCTCGTCGCAAAGAAACAGAATCAGTAGGAATTGGTAGTTCTAGGAGAGGGCGTAAACGTTCCGGATCAGGTTTAATCACTCCGTTACATATGTTGTATCCCAGAAGATTTATAGTAGTCTTTGAAAATTCACTTTTTGTCACGTTTAATGTAAGATTATATTTTGTAGAAATTTCTTCAAATTTTTTAAGTTTTTCATCGTGATCAGTCTGATTTATCCCACAAATCGTGATATCATCGAGATAAGCATAAACTCCTTCTAATTGCTCTGATTTTATGATATTATTAATTGCACGTTGAAATGCGGCCACTCCATTGGTGACACCAAACGGAATTCGTCGAAACTGATATAAATTTCCTCCTGCTTCGAAGGCAGTATATGATTTTTCGCTTTCCAATATAGGTACTTGATGATAGGCGCTTTTAAGGTCTATTTTACTGAATATTTTATGTTTAGATACCTTAGCTATAACATCTTCAATAGAAGGGAGTGGATATGCATCTAATAAAGTAAATCTATTTATTGTTTGTGAATAATCTATAACCATACGTTTTTTATGGTGTTCACTACTAGTAACAAGGACTTGTGCTCGCCATGGAGACTGACTAGGTTCAATTATTTTATCTTTTAATAACTTTTGTATCTCTTCATCTATAAATTTTTGATCCATCTCTGACTGTTTCCTAGATCGAATTGCAATAGGTTTCTCGAAAGGTAGTAAATTACTGAATAAGCTAACAGGTTTTATTTTGGCTTCTATAAGAGTACATAATTGAAGCGAGGGTTTAAAACCACCAAATTGCATTTCTAATGATTTATGTTCACTTAACATATCATGACCGAGAATAACATCAGAACATAATCCTTCCATCACCATAAGATTGACTTCCACCTTTTGTTTTTGTATTTCTATAGTTAATGCACATCTGCTTTTTACATGTGATATAAGGTTTGACTTGGCCATTGTTATCTTTTGGTGATATGGTGTTTCAATTAAATCATAGTGGTTAACCAGTCGTTTGTCAATAAAACTAGCTGTACTGCCTGTATCTATTAGTGCTCTAGCCATAATTTTGTTATTGATAATAATAGGAACAGTCGCTTTACTTAAATCTGCAGCAGATAGTATGCAGGAGAGTGTTTCGATTGACTGATTTTCGTTGGAGGTAGCTGCGTTGCGTTGAGATTTATTTCGACAGACTTTAGCAAAATGACCCCTCTTACCACATGAAAGACACGTTGAACTGGCTGCTGGACAGAATCTTCGTGGATGTCTTTTTCTCCACAAAAGTAACAAGACTCAAACGTATTTCTATAATTTGGTGTTGCAGCAACGGTGACATCAGTATTCTTATTGTCAGCAGACATAGAATCCTTTAAAACTGGAATATTAGAACAGTTATTTGTATTATTTATTACAGGATTAGTGTCACGTAGATAATTCTGATTATGAATTTCTGCTAACTCCAGTGATTGAGCTTGCTGGAAGGCCGCATCTAGGGTTAAAGTACTATTTTCTAACAGTCTTTGACGTATTACAGGTGACACCAGTCCGCCTATGAAAGCGTCTCTTATGTATTCACTTTCATTCTGTTCTGCTGTAACTTTATGGAAGTTACATTCTTTCGACAATAGTTTAAGAGCTTGTATATATTGATGAACTGACTCACCGGATTGCTGATATCGCTTCATAAGACGATGTCTTGAATAGATTTCGTTTACAGGTTTTGTAAATAATTGATTTAATTTAAGAATCGCTGTAGTGTAGTTGTTACATTCTTTGATATGTGCATAAAGAATCGGCGATAAGTAATTGACGAGTACTTGGTATTGCTGCTCTGGAGTAATAGGATTATCCTTAGTATTTATAGCACTAATAAAAT